ATGTTAAAGCCCCCCTCCAGAGGGGAAGGGGGACAGCAGCTCCCCACAAGGCAGAGGCAGGCCTGGGGGTGCTCACGGGTGAGCGCAGGCTGCAGACGGTGCTCCCACGCAGGGCTGCGCAGAGGGCACATGTGATCGTTCAGTCTGTTACCGACACGTGAAAGGGCCACCCCTGGGTCCGTGCCAGGGTGCCAGAAATCGGGGGTCACGATCCATTCAATTGTAGACCCCGGAAGTCAAATTACAAAGAGCTACAACTCCCAGCCCTCCCCAGGCTGGTCCTCCGTCCTGCCCTCCCCCCCAGCTCCTGGGGCCCCTGCTCTGTCGCCTCCTGGTTTTTATCTGAACGCACCAACTGGCCCGCAGCCGGGGCCTCTGGCGCTGCCCCTCAGGGGCCAGGCGCGGGGGTCGCGCACCCTGCAGGGGGTTTCTCCAGGGGCTTTCTCGGGCCCAGACCCTCCCCACAGTGCCCGACCCTCCCTAGCGCTCCTTAGCCAACGCTGCCGCACGGGTGCTGTGAGCGCAGGGGCCCTGGCCAGTGCGATCGGCGCCCAGGACACGCCTTCCCTCCAGTCGCTTTGGCTGCCCAGCTCGTAAAGACTGGCGCTGAGCTGGCACTCGCCACAGGGCTGGCCTGCAGAGTCCGGCACAGCGGGGCTCTGCAATTACCCCAGAGCTGCCGCTGGCTGGCAGGAAGGTGCCATCCCTACGGCACGTGGCCGGCCACAGGACAAGGCCAACCGGGCCCCGGGTAAAGGGGGCCCAGCGCTGAGCAGTGCGGCCACTCGGCACCCTCCCCCTCGGCGCTCAGGAGAGTGACGGAGAGGGCACGGAGTGGCTAAGAGAGCGGAGCCACTCCCGTGCGGCAGGACAGCGGTCAGGAGCCCGAAGGGCGGCCAACACGGCCTTTCCAAGATGGAAAAGTGAGTCTCATCTGCTGTAAGTCCGGTAACATAAAGACTGACGTGTAAGACATCACGGTGTATTTCCAGTATCAGGCTGACGTTCTCCTGTGGCTTCTTACAGCTTCACACCTAGCGCATCCGTCAGAAGTTGTAGATTAATATTTAAAATGCCGAGGAAGCCAGCTGCTTGTTCTAGTCTCTGACTCAGTTAAGCTCTTACAATATTTTGACTGTTTAAGAAAATTAATAATGGGATGTTAGGCGGTAGATTAGCTGAAACTAAATATCAACACAGCGAGATTTATTTTTGGACGGCTGAGCTCATCTCTTCAAAGGGCGGAAGCAGGAGCTGTTACACCCTGAGCCGGTACTTACACAACAGAGCAGCCGCGCAGGAGCGCCGGCCGGGGGCTATCGCCGGGGCGCCGAGTCGCGCCTCTCCAGCAGGCTGCAGCCCGCGGCCCCGGCTCGGGGACGCCAGGGAGGTCAGGGCACGGAGGGCCGCTGCACCCACGTGGACAAACGGGTACAGGGACCGGCAGACACCTCGTCTGTGTGCTCGGCCAGCAAACACGCCCTCCTCCAGGCCCGAGCCTCTCCTGCGGAGGGTGCGCGCCTGTGCTACCAGTCATGTCCGGGGGGGCCCGCACGAGCGTGCCGAGGGGCGCAGAAGCCCTGCTGCGGCTGGGCCGGGCCTTCCCAGCAGGGCTCGGGAGAGGCCCAGTGCGGCTCAGCCCTTGGGGAGCGTCAGTGCCGCAGCCGCCCTCGTCTCCTCCCTTGGCGGGGACGGAGCTGACAGGCCAGCGGGTGGCAGATCTTCTTCCACGCGTTGGAGGGGCCCAGACAGGCTCGCCGCAGTGGCCTGGTGTGCAGGACAGCCGGAGTGCGGGCTGCCCGCACCGCCCAGCGCCAAAGCCCGCCCCGACAGCGGACTGGGCCAACGTGCGGACACGAGACCCGCCACCCGGCCCGAGCTGCCCTGGGGCTCCAGGCATCAGGCTGTGCCAGCCCCACCAGAGTGACTGCCTGCTTTACCCTCCCGACACCCCTCCCCCAGACAGGGCGCACACGGCGAGGGCTGCGGCGCGAGCAGCCCCGGGGGTGTGTGCACAAAGGCTCATCCCACCCTCATTTCAAAAGCCAAACAGGAAGCCAGTCAAGCATGCGCCGGGGTCGGGAGAGCTGGGGGTGCGCGTCACAGGTCATGATGAAGATGCGCAGACCCCCAGGCCCGCCAGCACGACCCGTGCGCACAGCCGCGTCTACAGGGCTCAGAAGTCAACGAGTGGAATGACCCAGGTTTAGGGATCTACAGGGCGCGAACTGCGTTTCCCGGGCAGCGAGCGAAGGCATCAAGATGTGGTGATGCGGCTGGAGAGGCGGGCCCCGGACAGGCCCCGGTCAGGCCCCGGACAGGCCGTGGGTACTGCGCTCCTCCACGGCGTGGGCAACTCGTGGTCAGCACTAAGCTCACAGCCGCCACGCGCCACGTACGTTCCTCTGTACATGTCAAACGGCATAATAAACACGCCTCGGGGATGCGTGGACAGGCCAGCGCACGGTGGTCACCGGGAGCCCCAGGCCGAGACTGGGCGGGAAGCACCGGGCTGGGGAGGCGGCCTGGCTGCCTGGCCGGGAGGCTCGGGGGAGGAAGCTGCGCCGAGACCCCCTTTCATCGGGCACCACGCTGCTCCCGGCCACACCCCTCCTTCCTCCCCACTCAGATCCTGGAGCGGGGGGCTGCCAAGCATGACCCCGCAACGCCACCCAGCTTCTGGTTCTCCAGGTGTCTGAGCACAGGCACCGGCGGGAAGGCGCCAACGCAGGAGCTCCTGGCCGGAGCCGCCCGGTCTGTCCTGCGCAGGTCAGCTTTACTGCGGGTCTGTGAGTGTCCGGTGCCACCACAAAGCAGGGAGACTAAAATGAGCGCTTTCTGGCCAGAGTTCATCAGAGAGGGGTTCTTTTGACTGCACTCCAGGAAGCCGGGCAGAGGCAGGGGAAAGCCCGTTTATTTTTTTTTTTAAAGATTTATTTATTTGTGCATACAGAACTGGGGTACAGTCCAGAGGTTCAGGGGCGGTGAGAGGCTTCACCAGAGACAGAGCGGGGAGCAGAACAGGCAGATCGACGAAGTCCACTGCTGAGGGGAGCAGCGGGCGGGTCAGGAGAGGTCTGCCACACCATGTGGTCACCCCCGGGGCAGGTCGGGAATCGAACTCATGCGGAAGCGGCTTTAGCTTCTCAGTGCTGAGCTGTAACCCGCTGCGCACCAGGGAGGGCCGGAAAGCCGTTTATTAAAGGCTGGCCAAGGGGGGCAAAGGGGACGTCCGCAGAGCCGCTGCGTGTGCCGCCTCCGCAGCGCCTCACGGCCTCTCCTGCCAGCCGCACTGCCCAGAGCCTTCCGACCACCCCGGCAGGTGAACACCGACCCGGCTGGACTGCCTCCGTTCCGGCCTGCCTTCCCGCGGGGCACCCCACTCCCCAGCACAGCCCCAGAGCCTCCCCCTGAAGTCAGAAGGAACAGGGGACCAGCCAGGGGCACAGGGGTCGGCAGTGAGGGCCCGGCTCGCCCAGGCCAGCCGTCCCGGAGCCTCGGAGCAGCAGGCCGAGAGGCCCACAGGCAGCAAACGCCACCCTCCGGGAGTAAGAGTCCGAGGCAGCGTGTTGCTGAATGCTCCGATTATCCGCCTGGGGGGTGACTGGTCCCCAGTGCTTTCTAGTAAACAAGCGCCACCTTAGGGAGACCCCGTGTCACCCACGAAAGGCGGTGGCTGGCTGGGCGAGGCGACCCGAGCAGCCCCTCAGAGGGCGAGAGAGGACCCAGTAACGCGGAGTCCTCCCGAGAGCCATGCGCCCGCGCCCCCGTCCGTCTGCGGAAACAGAAGCTCCGCGCCGCGCAGGGGAGGCGACCGGCCGCGAGGTCAGAGCCCCTTCTCCGGCGGGAGGGGCGGCCTCGGCTGCTCCCGCTCCTCCCTCAGCGCCAAGTCCTGCCTTGGTCACGAGACGGAGCTCAGTGGCCCGGGGTAATCTGAGCAAACCTGTTTCACTGAGGATGCTTTCATTTTTTTCTTCATTAACTCTCTGGTCCCTGTCAAGTACGCTGAGAGCAAGATTTATGTTGCCACTGCTGGGTCTAGAGGATCTTAAAATTTAAACAATTTGTACGTTTAACTGAGACAGAAAATATCTCATGCTTTACAGACGGACACAAATTGGTTTCTTTTCTATGAACAGAACACTGTATTATCTCATTTACTGTATTTCTTAACAGAAGGAATATTCAAGTAGCACATTACCCAGCTGAACACTAATTGTTTCTCGCAAATGAATATCACACATTTAAACAAGCCCACACCATCCCCTTCTGAAAGAGAAAAACACACACGCGCCCACAGCGAGCCTGCTCCCAGGGCTAAGAGGCCCGAGTGCTCGTCTTTCCTGCCGCGGAGCTGGGTGTTGTGAAGTTTTACAAAAGCAAAACGCGGGGGTGGGAGGTCCACACCAGAGCCCAGCCGCGGCAGCGACGGGCAAGAGGCCAGGCCCGGACCGTCACTTTTATTCCATCACTTCCGCTTTCTGTAACATGTGGGGGCCCCTCTGGGCTTGGGAGTTGTCGCGTGCATGACAACAGGAAGGCTGCCGTGGCATGCCCTGCCCTGCGGGCTCATGCGGACACCAGTCCGGGGCTGAGGTGAGGAGGGGCCCCACATTTACAGAGGCAGCTCTCCCGGGTACAAGGCCCCCGGGTCTGTGATGGCTTTCGGAAAGGACCCGCAGGACTAGGCTGTTTTCGGGGTGTTTTCTTGGCGGGAGGCAGGAGCTGGGCGGGACTGAGGTCTCTGGGACACAAGAAGATGATTCAGCGAGACCCAAGTGGTGGCCTTCCTCTCTGGCCTACTCTGAGGCGCGCTCTGCAACTTCATTTGAAAGTGGGATCCCGGGGGCAGGACTTGTACGCCAGCAGGCCAGGGAAGGGAGAGACGCAATTTGCATGGAACCAGCATTTACTCTCCACTGAGACAACACAGACCTGAGATTTCATCGTTAGGTCACTCTCTTCCACACATCCCGACAAGCACCTCATGGAGAACTCACCAGAAGCATCGCTGACGTTCCGTTGGGCCTGGAGAGGTGGATGGACATTTCAGGAAACATCCTGTCAATGCGGCTGATCACGTCGTCCACATACCTAGGAGAGAGACACGTGTCTGAGCCGGAACCGAGGCGGGCAGCGGGCCCACAGGGGCACACCAGAGCGTACGGACCTGACGTGCCTGTGAGAAGGCGGAAGGTCTTGCTCCATCACAGGGGCTTGCAGTACGTGCAGCACCCCATCCCTCCTCCTCCCCCCGAGCCCACCACTTGGACGTGACTTCTTTTGGTATTTGTGGTTTTGACACCGGTTTTTTCCCAGCTGGAGGGTGGCCAACTGACTTTCTTCCTTGGGAAACGAATTTTGTGGTCTCCTTCTTGACCTTCAAGGACAGAGGCTTCCCGCCCCCCCCAACAGTGGTCTACATAGAGCCCCCCAAGTCCACTGGTCCACACAGAGGTCCTCCCCAAGTCTACACAGAGCATGAGGGCTTCACGCTCTCTGGCCTGTTGTTTTTTAAAGATTTATTTATTAATTCATACAAGAACTGGGGTACGGGTCAGAAGTGCAAGGGCACTGACAGGATTCACCAGAGACAGAGTGGGCAGATCAACAAAGTCCACTGCTGAGGGGAGCAGTGGGGAGACCGGAGAGGTCTGCCCCGCCTGTGGGTCACCTCCGGGGTGGGGACCGAACCCGCAGTGAGAAGCTGTGGCCAGCTGGCAGGGCTGCGCTCTGACCTGCCACACCACCGGGGAGGGCCCGCTCGCTGGTCTAGACGGAGCCTCCGCTACGCTCATCTACACAGCAGCCCCCACTCTGGTCTCTGGCTGCAGCTTCTGGCTATTGCTCACCTCCGGTCCCCTGGACAATCAACCTCCTGGATTAGATTCCTGTTTCCTGGCTGGACTCTAACTGAAGTCGTATCACTATTTTGGTTAAACCGGTGTTCAGGCTTGCGCTCTAAAAGCTCCGGGCATGACGGTAAATGGCCAGGACCGGGCTGGGTGCTCCGCGCAGCCGGCCTGCCCTCAGTGGGCGGCTTCCTGAGGACCGGGGGCAGTCCAGGCCGGGCTCGGCCGACTCTCAGTCGCTCGCACCAGGTAATCGCTTTTCGAGACAGCCCACGGAAAGGTGTCCTCTGTCTTCCGCCCACCTGGAGACTGCCTCCGAAAGCGTAACAATCCTCGCGATGAACGGCGCTAAGCCGCTGGCCTGGTCTTGGCGCCGAGACTCCAAGTTATGAACAGGCGTGTTGGCGCGTCATGGGCCTACTCCATGAAAACGCCCTCGCTTCGGGGCTCTGGCCGAGGCAGCTGGTCACAAAGACGCCAAGGCTGAGCCTGCACAGGCAGGGCCGGCCCATCCTTCCGGAACAGTCACCGAGTGCTGTGCTCGTCGTGACCACAGGGCACAAGGGGACGCAGAACACAGCGGAGCGAGGCACGGCGGCCTGCTCGGGCCGGAGAGGATTCGTATCCGCTGGATACGGCAAATGAAATCATCAGAGCAGGGACACGGAAAAGCCAGCTCTCCCAGGGAAGAGGGAGGTTAGCGTCCACGAGATTTTCATTCCAAACCTCGCCCGAAGCTGGCAGGTGGATAGCGGGCCGCACACGGCCGCGGTGGGGGGAAGGTGACGTCTCCCTGCCAGCTGGCAAAGCTGGGGGCCCTTCGGGCCTCCCTGGGCGAGGGCCACGGCCCACCTGACGCTTGGAGCTGGGCAAGGCGGGGTCTCTAGCGGCAGCGGCACGCAGAGCGACGGGACCGGAGAGGGCGGCCTGCGGGGAGGGGAGGCGCGGCGGGCTGCTCCAGCGGAGGGGCTGAGGAGAAGGGCCAGAGGGAGGCTGGGGCGCTACAGACCCAGCCGGCTCCGAGAGAACGGAGCGTCTCTGCGAGGAAGGCCGTGCTGTGGGCCGCCGCGGCGGCCTAGGGCTCGGCTCCCCGGATGCCAGGGAAACGGGCGTCCCCGGCTCCCGTCGCGTTTACGGTTTCGCCACAGGCAGCCCTGGCTCTCAGCTTAGATTCTCCAGAGCAGGGCAGGAGGCAGAGAAAGGAGAGCAGTGGCTCGTGCTTCGTCGCTGGCTGATGGCAGGCGCGGGGCGAACCTCACGCGGGGCTCACGAGGGGTCTCTGGAAACTGTCCTCTGAATCTGGGTGAGCGGGTGAGGTCCAGTTTCTTCAGACTCAGCAGGAAGGAAACTCCACTGTCCGAGCGGGCGGAGGTCGCGCTAAGTGTATGCTAACGGGGGGCTGTCTTGGGTTCCCGCCTCCATCGATCGCCATCAGCCGTCAGCGCTCCGGTCGGAGAATGCAAAGGGCCGTGCGGCCCCAGCTCCGGGCAGCATCACAGATCGCCCCTCCGCGCCCTTCACCTCCAAGGCTTCAAAATACCTCTGGAAACGTTCTCTTTGATAGGCAAAGAAAAGGGGAGTGGGCAGACGGGTGGAGCGAGGAGCCCCGGAACCGAGTTCAGAGAGCCCCTCCCAGCTTGTAGTGAGGGCCGGAGCGCGCCGTGGCAGCAGCGAGTGTGTTCCGTGCCTCTCTGAAGTCTTTCACTGATGAGATCTTGCTTGTCAAGGAAGGCGGCGGGAGAGAAGAAGAAACGCTTAGGAACAACACCAGCCGCCGACCTGGCGAAGTGGGAAGGCCTTGCTCCCCACCCGGAGCCCAGACAAAGCTCAGCAAACTCAGTGCTAAGATTCTGTCAAGCAAAAGTGAATTCCATTCACATGCCCAACAGAAAGGAGATGCAGATTTCCCTTCTGCAGGTGACATTATGTATTTGCCAAAAAAGAGAGGGAAGTCAGCTGCGTCTTTCACTGAGGAAAACAATGTCTCAATCCTAGAAGTGAAAATCAAAACATTTCATTTGCAAATAGACCCAGCCTCCAAAACACAATCCACCAGCAGCGACTTGACAGAAATAAGGGGAGCTTCCTTGTCAAGTTCAAAAGCTGAGACACAAGGAGCTTGCTTTCTCTCAGCGAGCTGGCGGGAGGCGGGGTCTCCGCAACCGCCTCCCTGGCAGGCTGAGGCCCCCCCCCCCCGTGTGCCCGAAGCCCGCAGCTCCGCTGTGTGGCCCCCCCAGCGCCAGGGCCCAGGCCAGGTAGGAACAGCGAGCTCTCCTCCCACACTTCCACCATATGTCCCTCGTTCTGCGGCAGGATCAAATCACTTTAATTTTTACCTTCGGAATATAGGCAAACAAGCAGTAACACAGCAGTGGTGACGAGTTTGCACTTGAGCAGACGCGGCGCAGAAAGACATTAATTTAGTGCCAAATTGAGCAGTGAGTCACAATTTGCACATATCTGTCAACCTGCTAACAGGGTAATAACTTAGAGAGATTGCTGTTCCTATTTACACGACAGAGCCTTTCGAAAACAGGGAGCGGCTCGGCTCCTGCTCCTCCCGGAGCGCGTGGCCCACGCACCGGCCTGACGGTCCAAACGCCGGCTGGACGCACAGGTCCCGAGAAACCGCAGTCGTGGATGCCAGGATCTTCCCTATTTCCAGGTAGAAAATGGAGCGATCCGAGGACCCGCCTGCGGGCCCGCTCCCCGCGACAGCCGGACCTTCCTCAGTGGCTTCTTCCCACTGCACCCTGGCTTCTTCTCGAGGTTTCCGGAGGCTTCCTCAGGACTCAGCTGCAACACAACCCTGCGGCCGCTCCACCCGGGGCCGCTGCCTGGCACCAACCTCTGGGCCTCGGGAGGAACCTAGACCTACGATGTCTCGTCCACTGTCCGGGCAGCTAGGAATGGGAGGGCCTCTCCAGGAGAGCCCTGGCGAGCCAGGCACCGGCAGCCCCTGCTCAGGGGGCCTGAGGATCCCCACCAAACCCCGCCAGCCTTGTTCGCGTACTGTGTCTTAAAATCCATCGTGGGCCACCGAGTCCTTGGAGAACTGTCCTGAAGCCAAAGCTCACGTCTACAGAGCTTCCTGCACCCTCTTAAAACACCTATTCATGGGCCCCAGCTTCAGAGTGACAGCTGCAGGTCCGGCCCAGAAACGAGGTGTCTGGCGACCCCCGCCCCGGTCCTTTCTGAATGGAAACAGCTTCCTTTTCACTGCAGCTGTTCTCGCTTTAGCCGTGCCTACGCGTGGCGGCGTGGCGCCTGCGAGGAGCAGGTGAAGTGGCCCAGGGCACGGGCACCAACAGTTCTGGTCATCTAAGTATCTCGCTTCCCTGCGGGAGTCCCGGCTTAGTTCTGTTGGTTTGAAACGACTCTCACGTTAATTAATCTCAACCGAACCCACAATCGAGGTGCCTGATCTAATTCCGTGGCCAGTGCCGCGGCCCGAAGCCAGGGCCGCGCTCCCCAGAAGCCCTGCCTGTGCAGAGAAAGGGCGTCCTGCTCATGGCACCACTGCCGGAGGCACCACTCAGGGGCGCGACGGCCAGTGCCCCAGGGCGGCTCCCCTCCAGCCTTGCCAGGCGCTCCCCAAGCCTGGGCCCGGCGGCGGGGTCCCACGACTGGCCTCTTCGCCTGGAAGACTCTCCCTCACAGGCGCAGGCCAGTCTCGCTGGTGCCTCTGGACGGGGTCGACGCCGCCGCACCCCAGGGAGGCCCCTGCACCTCTCGGCCACCTGGAAAAGTGACCCCTCACAGGGCATTACCCAGCAAGCGAGGTGGCAGGTGCTTCTGTGAGGGAAAATGGCGAAGATGTCGCACGAACCACTCACAGTTCTCTTTGTTTCCTGGCCCAGCTGGAATGAGGCATTTCTCCAGCATTTATTTGCTTAGTGTCTTCCTCCCTGCAAGACTCCTCGGGATGGCGCGGCTGCCTTCTGCAAAGCTGGACCTGGTCACGGGGCGGCCCCCCGACCTTCCTCCAATATTTGCAGAATGAGGAGATGGGCCATGAGGTCAGCTGGTAGGCGCTCGCGGCAGTTAGGAGACAGCTAACATGCAAAGTTGTCTGCAGCAGAGGGCGAGCGGGTGCCCGAGAGCGTGTCAGCCATCTCGGGTGACCAGCGCGGCAGCCGGAGCCCCGCAGCACCTCGAGGCCAGCGGTGCAGACCCTGAGGTCTCGGGGGCCCCGCGCGGGTCTGCTCCAGCAGCACTCGGGGCCAGAGGCACGAGCCTGAG